CTTAGCTGGAAGAAAGAACATAGCCAAGAATTTCGAAGCCAAATCATCTCAAGTACTAATGAAACCAACTGAAAGCAAATTCAACCAACTCTTTCTCTTGTCTCTCAGTAAAAATGAGAAAAAGCCCTAATCTAACAGTATCATCAAACACACCATTGGTCTTGAATGTATCGCAAAGCTATAGGAAATTCACAATATGTGCATTAGAACCATCATTCGGCAATCTCCTAAACTGAACTAAAGTCTGAGTCATCTGAATGATTTCTAGCTTAACCTCAAAGTTGTTGGCTTAGATGTTAGGTCTACAAATACTGGAATAACGACCTTGAACAAAAGGTATAGCATACTTTATCAAGGACTTGGTTTTTTCTTGTTGATCAACCATTGTTTCAATGTGAAAAGAAGGTTGTAGGTTTTCTCTCTTTAGAAAAGTCCTTTCAATTTTCAGATCAAAAGTAACAATTTTCAAATTTCTAACTCTTCACGTACAATGACCAAAAGCACCTAAAAACAAAGAAAAAAGACAATCTAAATTAAGACTAAAATTACTTGGTATTAATATTAACAAAAGAATTAAAATCAATTCCCTGGCAACGGTGCCAACAACTTGTTTGTCGAATAAACTACTCAAGTACACATATCGTAAATAAGTAATATAATAGAAAAGTAGAATGTTGATCCCACAAGAAATTGTTTAAGCCTATTCTAAAAACTAAAATTGACATAACTTAATATTATCCAAACAATACAATTAAATTGATTAAATAAAATTACACTGAAACTAAAATTTGACAAAACTAATCTAAAAACTAAATAGCAAACTTTTAAAGAAAATTAATTAATTAAAAGCCTAGGATTTATAATATCTCTCAACACTTTATCTAAATTTTATCTCTCTCTCTCTTGACCTACTTTTAATGGGCTAAGTTGCTAATCTAAATATCCTAAATTATTTATAAGTCTCCGTCGAGTTTCTCATAAAAAATATCCCTTCCAATCAAATTACTATATGTCTATGTAATTTAAATTGAAGAAAAACTCATTAAGTTCAGACTCTAATCTTCGCTACATATGACTCTAATAAAGTATAAAGTTATTGGATTGCAAGAATCGACTTTCAAAGGAGAAACAGAGTGATTCCTGACAAGGCAGAAGCACAAGGAAAGAGCATTAAACAGAAAGAATCGACTTCTCAAGTTCCATTGCTCGATTCCTTGATGCAAAATGAAGAAAAGATGAAAACTTATTGAAGAAACTAAAATGGGAGATTTTTTAGCCGAAAAACCCAAATTTGAAATTCTGAAGTGATGCTCAAAGGACAAGAACAATCGACTTCTAAAAAGGAGAAAAGTCAATTCCTGCAAAGTAAAATGTTCCAAACTTGAAGCAAGAAAAGAAAAAGTGACTACTCAATGGAGGAATGATCAATTCTTAGAAAGCAAAGAGCATCAAGTTCAAAGTTAAATAAGGAAGAATCAACTTTTGGATAATGGAAAGATCAATTCCTTGGAAACAAAATGTCCTAAGGTACAAAGGAATCGACTTCTCAAATGGGCAATGATTGATTCCTGAAGACTAACAAACTTAACTCAAATGGGCCTGAAGTTTGAAATTTTGAATTCTCTTTCTCTCTAATGGGCAGAAATTTAGTGAGGCTATAAATAACTCCAAGAACTTCATTCCAAAGGAAGAGAGAACTAAGAAAGAAAGAGAAAAGATCTTTACTTGAAAAAGGAGAGAAAAGCTTTCATTCTCAAGCTCATACCTTTCTCACTCTTTGAAACTCTCTCAAAAGTAAAGCATTAGTTTCAAGCTTACATTCCATAATCTTTGCTCAATTCTCTTGTACTCAAAATCTGTTAATCAGCCTATCTAGAGACACAAATCCTTGTAATCCACTATTAATAAGTTATACCTCCTTGAAAAAGCACATAGGTTATACTTAAGCCTTGAAAAAGTAAGATTGGTTATACCTTCATTGGAAAAGGTAGATTGGTTGTGATTTAACCTTGAAAATGCAGTGACTCATTGATAAATTGTCCTTGATCCCCAAAAGGCACTTGGCTGTAAAGGTTACATTTGAACCTACTAAAGAAAGGCAACATTTTTAGTGGATTCAAACTCCTTATGATATCAAAGGAGTAGACATAGGCTATGAGAGGCCGAACCTCTATAAAAATCTTGACTGAGTTCACTCTCTCTTCTCTTTCAACTTGATATGCTTTATTTTTCATTTCTTGCACTATTTTTCTATTTTGATGCTTAAAGTTCTGATCTTTAACTGATTTTGAAAGAACTGTGAAATTTTTAGTTGAAAACCAATTCACCCCCTCTTGGTTGTTATGTTACAAGCTTCTTTATCTAATAAATTCAATGTAAATGGTTCTTCTCTTCTAAACTAAGGATAGTAGGCATTAGGTGTGTGCTTCAAAAATGAGGAAGGCATAATCAAAATTTTATTTTCTAAACATGTTAGAATTGCTAATAATAATGAGATTGTGCTTTTAGGTATTAAAGAAGCTTTCTTGATTTTTGCTGCATCAAAATCGATTTCTTCTTATAGGTTGTTGATAGAAAGTGATTCCATTAATGGGATGGGACTACTCCATGGAGATTATGTTCTCATATGAGATTTACCGAATTTACTATGTCTAACATTGCTAGTTGGGACATTCAACATACACTTCGAGAAGCTAACAAAATGGCTGGCCAGGTAGCAGAGGAAGGGGTGCAAAGAGAATAGGAGTCATCGTAGTTTTTTAAGTATAGATTCGGTCAATAACGGCTTTTATGTGGTGGTTGGGTTATTTGGGCCTTTGATGTGTTGTATATATATTTGGCTTTTGGTATCCTTTTGTTTCATTTAGACTCCTAAAACTGAAAACCTTTTTTTCTGACTTGGTACAATTATGCTAATAATATTCAGCTATTAAAAAAGATAATTAATAACGGTTGTACATATGTTATCAATATTGAGAGAAAAGCTCATATACAATATATATATATAATAATTTTAATTTTTGACTTTTAATTTTTAAAATATTAAATAGAAGCAAATTTTCAAAAAATAAGGTTTGACGATTCTGAAATTTAAAAACTTCAAACCTCATTTTTCAGAACTTTATTTTTTATGATTTTTTAAAAGTAAAGATCAAAATTGACTTCTTTTAACCAAAAATAAAGTTAATTTTTTAAAGAAAAAACTAACGAATTCGAACAGAAAGAGTATATATTTCCTCTCTCCGAGTCTGCTTTGAGCACAGCATATCTATAGTTAGCAATCAAATCATGGTTCGTCAAGGAAAAACTCGAGGAAATGACAGGAAGCTGTTTTAGCAAAGCACCCAAACAAATAAAAACAAGAAAAACGAGAGGAGAGAGCAGATCTTGAACCCAGCAATGGAAACAACTCCGCGTCAAAACGAAATTCAAGACAGAAAACGACCCTTCACTTCAACAAAATCAAAGTAGGTTTTTTGTTTGCGGATCACGCGATTTCTTGATATATGGCTTATGTTGTAGTATAATATTATCCCTTCTACCCTACTGGGGTTTTCTTTTTCTTTTTTCCCTTCCTCCCCTATTACTTAATGTTTATTTCTGTCCTTAGTTCTTCTGCTAAAAACTGTCGACACATCTTTATCACTCTCTCTTCGCAGTGAATATCTGTACGGCTTGAAGTGTAATAATGCAGGAGAGAGCGCTGAAGCTGAAGTTTCAATGTTTCATGCATGAAAGGGGATGTCTTTTGTGAAAGAGACGTGGGTTTGAGTTGCATATCATATTATTTATTTGCTGTTGACAAGTGTGATTTTATATGCTTTCAGGTAATACACATTTGTCTCTGACTGCATGCTTGGCTATGTGGAAATTAAGCATGGAAAAATGCTACATAAAAAAATAATAATAATAATTTGTTTAAAAGGCTAAAGCTAAAGCTGTTAAGGGGGCCGAGTATGTTTTTTTCATTTGTACGTGACCTGCTCTGCTGGCTAGAGCTATGCCCTGATGAGAGGTCAGTGGAGAGTGAACGTAGGTCGGACCATTTGGGAATAGCAACAAGAATGTTCTGGTCCTTCTCACCACCACATATATCAAACAAAAGCCCTTGACTGATGCATGGATTCATCTGCTTTCAAACAAAAAGTTACACCTTCTCTCTCTCTCTTATTCCTGGTTGTCCCTTTGCGAGGGCATGGTGTACCACTTCATGTCATAGTGGATCTGTTGTCAACCTTTAGAAATTATAAAGACATTTGAGGACACAAATCTCGTGTTGAAATTATAAAGACAAAAATGATATTTGAGTTAACCTCCAGAAATAATAAGTGCAATTCAATAAGAAACCTTGAACAACACAATCAAATCCATCTTGATCATACAGCGCTTAAAGAATTTTTTTCCTCTCTCCGTGGTCTCCAGAAGAAGACTTCCTTCTTATGCATTTTCTTCTTTTGTTTCTGTTTTTGAAGAAACTTTAGGCATTTTATTTTTTCTCTTTCCTTGAATACATGACAGAAGGCATTGATGAGAAGAATAATGGCTTCTGTTTTCTTGCTGCTGTCGGTAGGGTTGGATGTGAACTGTGAACCCTAATATTCTGCTTATAGGTTTTCAAACTAAATCTTATAAACCGTACCTGCAGGATTTTATGTCTTGTATATCTCATAGCCTTTGAAATATTGTACCCTTGTCATTTTCAACACATGACAGAGTACTTCAAAAGGGGTTCCTGAATCATCAACTAATAAAATCTACAACAACTATTTTACTAGCGTTTTAGTTTGTCGAGCGGACGACCTATTCATGAGCTCGGCCCGCTGGTGCTTTGACTATTGAAGCCCAGGCCTCGTACCGTTGGAAACACACTCTTTTTCCCATGTACTTGATAAAATAGCATTCAGAGGAGAACATTTTTTAGCGGATTTAAATCACTGAGATGTAAAATTGTCCCGACACAGGAATGTGAATTTGATCATTCAGATTATTGCTCTACGTCGTAAACTTCCAGGGTCTATCAATTCAATTGCATTAGTAACTGATCCATATAAAGAAAAGAAAAACGAATTTACAACAGAGGAAAACGTTTCATTCCAGAAGACATGAGAACGTTTAGTGAACTCCAGAAACATTGAACGTTTATAGTCTGCAGAACAGCTGGTTTGGGAACTCCAATGCTGGTCAATAAGCTAGGTCGCCAATCTAGAGAAAATGGAGTTCTCTCAACCCTTAATTCTGACAAATGATATAATGATGGAAGTATTACAACTTCCCCCAAAGCATAATTCAACATCTCCAAATCCCTACTTGAACATTTTACTGAGAGCTAGTTTCCAATTATTTAAATTTCACTTCAGCCTATTGTTGGCCCCCTTCCCCTCTTAATCAGCCAATGTTCCTTGATAAATAATTCAACATCTCCAAATCCCTACTTGAGCATTTTACTGAGAGCTAGTTTCCAATTATTTAAATTTCACTTCAGCCTATTGTTGGCCCCCTTCCTCTCTTGATCAGCCAATGTTCCTTGATAAATCACAAGAATATGCAATTGAACAACCATCACCAATCATCCGTATATTACGATGATGTTCCTTCTAGTTTCATTGAACCAAATTTAACATTCACCAGCTCAGCAGCTGCACGGGCAGCTGCTATTGCACAATCTGCAGAGGCAATGGCAGCTCGAGCCCTTTCCAAGACATCAGATGGTCGAGATGTTGTCTCTGTTTTAATGTCACTGACTGAACCAGGTATACAATTTTTGGCTGACGGCTCAATTTCACTACTAGTCAACAAGGCCGCCTTGCTCACAGGGCTAGGAGCTTGCTGGTGTTGAGATGCCCGTTTGGCATTGGCAAGTAGAATAGGTTTCGCCCCATTAGAAGGCATAGGTTTAATAGAGGCTTGTCCAATAATAGCTTGAGAAACTGCAGCCTCAGCGCATGCTTGTTTTGATCCAGCCTGCACATAACATCGAAAAGCCAATCAGACACCAGAATGCATGCATGAGTGTGTGTAGGTGATAGGTGTATATGGTGTCTGCAAATTTCATAGTAAAATTACAAAGTATGGGTTGTCATCTTTTGTGTACAGTTTGCAGTAATTATTAACAAAAGTCTTAGAGGAAGTTCTTTAACAGGAAAGAATCCACATAGCCAGCCCAATATAGTTAGGATTGAGGCGTCATTGAGGTCAAATGAGTCTAATATTGCATTCATACCCTATATCTCTAGTTGGCTAATCTCTGATTTGTGGACACAAACAAAGGTCACATGTTTCACACAGCAATGGTATGTCCAATGCTGCTATCCTCACAAAGCTCTAGACTCAAGGACACAACAGAATACTTGGGCTTTCATAATTTTTTTCTAAAGTAAACATTTATATCTAACTATGCTTTGAGACTTGTTCGCCGAAAAGCCACTAATTGTAGAAAATATCACGTAAAAGGCATCCAAGTGCAAACCTTAACATAAAGATTATTTCATAACAATAGAAAATTCTCTTATAATAGTGCCATGTCCTTGGATGTACAATAAGGAAATTTTAATAAGTGCAAGTTTCGTACATTGGACATCAGCAAACTGACACTGCATGATAGAGATTGGCAATATAAAAAATGTGTACAGAATTTGGTTAAGTGAGGGAGACTGATAATTATAGAGTAGATGACACTTAACATTAAATCAACACATTTTGATTACTGAAAAACCCACAAATTTCATTTTGATTATCTCAACTCATACCGAGTACTGAAAACTACATTACATCCTGAGATTTCACTTTACCAATAAGATGATACCTTTTCCTTCTTTTTTTTTTTTTTTGGTGTGTGCGCGGTGGTGGTGGGGGTGGTTGATGGGAATACCAAATTAAATAGGCACAACAGAACTCTCTAAGCAATTTTTGCTATTAGAGGCAGAAACAACAAGAAGAAGCATGCATAAAACGGTTTCCAGCAACTGCTCCCTAACAGCAGAGAAAGCAGTATACATATCAAGAGCATGGAGTCATGAACCAGAAATATTTCCTGAAGATTAATCTCTGCATATTCCACAGAGATCTGAAACAGAATTTTGTAAGTGTACCAGTAAATCTTCATGTTTTCTGCTGAACTCTGCTTCAGTGCTAGAAGAATCCCATTCTACATTGTGTTCTTGAGCGATTTCCTTCAATACTTTGAGCCTTATCTCTCCTGATGGAGCACTAACTGAAAGCTTTTCGATTATCTAAATGACAGAAAAAAAAAGAATCAGAAACGGCATATCATCATATGCACGCTGCATCTCTGCCACTGTAGCAGAAACATCACACCTCATGAGAGGAAAAAAACTACGTGAAATAAAGATAATTAACTGCACGGTTGACGCTTGAGTCAGGACGAAGCTCAGATGCAGCAGTGACAAATTCCTTCCCATACTTTGTAGAAAACAAATTCTTGATCTGCAACAAATCAGGCACATCTGAACATCTAGGAGCAGCAAAAATTATGCTTGCCACAGCTTCTCGCAATTCTGATGGACACTCCCTGTTGTGTGGAAAGACTTGTTACAATAGGTACTCAGATTGTACTAGGAAAAGGAAACACTTACTTCGACATTTATTTTTATTGCAATGCTACAATGGGTTCACATATAGCACTAGGAAAAAGAAAAGCTTAATTTGACATTTATTTTTATGGCAAAAAAAAAAATGGAATTCTTGGCTAAAGCAAACCACAATACAATTAGAATGAGAGTGACAGAAAAGTGCTTCAACCATAGCTTGTTGCTGCAAAATCAGGGAGCAGTTTGTGTAATAAGATTATAATACTGATACATAACATATTAGAAAAAATATGTGGATATAGCATGGACATGCATATTACATACACATTATTGGAACAATTGGAAAAGAATCAGAAGCTGTTGCTCACGTGCACCCACAGTTGATTAGAACAACTGGAAAAGAATCAGAAGCTGTTGCTCACGTGCACCCACAATTGATTTCTTCAGAAGATACTGCTAATGCATTAAATCTATCCATTAGGACTTATTCCTTTTCTTCAATGTGGCAATTGATCTAGCTAAAAAAATCTGTGTTTCTGCTCCATTATGAAAGAATGCATTTGCTAATTAGGTCACATTAGAGTTAAATAGAACCAATATTTGTCCATACATCATTTTATTCTTCCATTATTGTGATGTTGATTATAGCTGCACTCTTGTAAGTCAGTAGCTCGTCTGATGTCATGAAATCCTTAATCCTGACATGAATTTTAAAGGAAGCAAATTGTCCATATTGAGACGAGCTATTTTCATGAATTAGAAGAAGTAAATGGAGTACAATACTGTCACTCCTCGATATTATTTGTATGTCCTGGTGAAGCATACCATGCTAAGTCAGCGTAATACAATAAAATACTACAATCCAGTAGATGGATCCAGATAAAATAATTTGAAAATTTTGTCCAATTGAAAGATTTATTCTACTACCATATACTTGTTTTACCTGTAGATGCCTAATTTTTGCTAACTATTATTTTTAAAGTACTATGTTATAGGAAAGTTACGTCAAGGGCATTCCAAGTGCGGAAGCACCTGGAGGCATTCCAAACACAAAAGCACTCAGAGGTCTTCCAAGCGTGGAAGCGCCTAGGGCATTCCAGATGCAAAAGCGCCCAGCGCATTACAAGCATGGAAGCACTCAAGGGTGTTCTAAGCGTAGAAGCCCCCAGAGACATTCCGAGCACAAAAGCACCCAAAGACGTTCCCAACATAGAAGCACCCAGGACTATTCTAAGTGCGGAAACACCTAGAAACAAGTATGGAACAACTATTTGTATAAGGAAGTGAAAATAACTTAGAACAAGTGGCACGGTGCATGACTTACTTCACATTTAGGATGCTCTAAAGAGTTTGGCTTGGTGGCTCAGATATAGTCATAGTTAAAAAGATTTCCTTTTAACCTTTCTTTAAAGAACATGTGCTTTACCTCTTTTTCTTTCTTTGCTCTTTAAAAATACATGTAGCGCACTATGTGTCACAACTCCATTGCCAAAAACTTACGTCCACTACATAATTACATGGTCATTCTTTTAATATCCCATAAACCGTTCTTTAACTGCTCTTTCATGAAAAGGACATTCTTTCATGATTGAACGTGTTCTCCTAACTACTCCTAAGAAAGCGCTCCTGTTCAATAAAAATATGAAGACCTTAAAAGTTGAGAGGCAATCAGAAATCATTAGAAACCCAACAAAGATTATACTAAAAACTCTCTCGAGGCTCTCCAAGCATTCTTTCTATTCAGCCTTCCCGTTTGCCGTAATCCATCACTTCTTCCACCTTTTCTCACCCCTCACCACTTGCCACCCAAAGCACTTACGCTTCAAAGACTGCTTCAATCTTCCTCTCTGCCGCTTCTAGTGCATTCCAATTTACTAATTGCAACACGTCCTCTATTCCTACCAAAAGAACCCCCTACACTACAATCAACTCAAGTTCTATAGGCCTTCATCACATTCTAGAACGGCCTCAAACTAGAATCTATACAGTCCATGCTGATGCATCTATTGGCTTTCATCACATCTCACCAAAGCATATTAGATGACTAAAAATTATGTTGTCTTCAATTCACACAGCCTGAGACAATGAACTTATCTCACACCTTACACTACCATCAACTCAAGTTCTATGGGCCTTCATCTCTTACCGAACGACCTAAAACTAGAATCTATACAGTCCATGCTGATGCATCTGTTGGCTTTCATCGCATCTTACCAAACATATTAGACGACTAAAAATTATGTTGTCTTCAATTCACACAGCATGAGACAATGAACTTATCTCATACTTGTTACACAAGTGTAATCATACCAGCATCCTAATTTAATTACACGTATTACTCCATTTCTGATTAAAGCTGTTTACACTCTAGTGATCAATGATTATGCAACCATTCAGAAGCAGTTCTCCTCATTTTTGGCCCCCTTTTGGTCCAACGTAAAAGCAGACAAATCCACGATGCTCAATACTGCAGAACCACTGACATGAGTGCCCTATTACCGGGCAACATGCAATTGCTCTTCCAAGTAGTTCTACTTTTCATGTCCCCAAAGCTTGCACAGTCATAGATACTTGAAACATAGGTCAAATTGGGTATTATAGAGTGGTTTACAGCGTAACCATCAGGCAACTGCCTCTCTGAACTTTTGAACCTAGAAATGTTCATATTCTGAAGCGTATTGTGATACATTTGAGGTTTTATCCAAGCACCGACTTCACACCAATAACAAATTTGGGAAAATAGATAAAGGGGGTTATTATATGGGTTTTTCATGAATTGACCAATTAGAAAATATCAAGAAAAATTTTTTTAAAAAAAAAGACCAGAACAAAAATTAAGATGTGTTGTAAAAAGATCATACATAAGGAGAAAGATCAGGAGAAAATTATTATCAAGGTTCTGGGGTATACCCAGCAGATAAAGAAGATGATCATATATAATGATTTCACCCATTAAATATGTATCAAACTAACATCACTCAAGGACAATAAGTAAACAGTGACAGCCATTGAAATAGAATTGCAAAATTGTACTTAACAATTCACAAGCAAGCCTGAAGACTAAATTTTATTTATGTGCACGTTAAGCAATAAAGATTTCAGCCTCTGGCTTTGCTCATCCAAGGTGTTCAAGTTTATTCACAACTTTAATCATGAAAAAGCCGCAGACTTCAGATTTAAAAGAGCATGACACAAATACTGGAATGGAAACAAATAATAAACCATTTTGCGAAACCAATGAAATAAAAGCCTGGGTCCTTAAAGTCTTTGACCATTGTACTTACTTCTGGCTTTCAAGAATAGGAACGCGTGCAAGAACAAACTCACAGAAAAGCTCCAGTATCTCATATGCAGCCCATATATTCTGCTCTCTGATTATATGTTCCACCTAATCCCTCAAACAAAAACAGAAAATATGGCAATTAAAAGCATTAGCCAATAAAATGATCAAACATGGAGTCAGAAAGGGTACCCGAATTCGAGCAATTGGTTCTTGGCCAGCCTGCAAAAATTGGGCTATCTCTTTTCTCATATGTTTGAGCTGCAAATCCCTCTTATTTTGCAGCAATTTAATGCGCGAGATTGCCAAGCTCAAGCATGTTTTACTACAAAATTATACCCAAAAATCAAAACCCATAAATTTTAGCGAGAGTGAAACAAAGATATTTAGTTTTCTGCATTATATACGACTTAAATGCAGAATTATGTCGAACATAACAAATTTAATAAAGAAAAAAAGACGAAAAGAAGGAACTAACCATTTTGCACCAAAAACACCTCTATTGAACAATTGATTTAAGAGAGACATTTTATGACTAAACAGAGGAGAAACTCTTCGTTGATGATTCAAACAGGATCTTTTCTTTATATGATGAATTGCAGAGAAAGTCAAGTCTATCGATCATGAGGCACCAAACGCCACCTAAGGGCTCTTCGACGAAACGTTTCTTCTGTTAGGAAACGCGTTTGTAATTGCCACAGGTGAAAGATTTATCGGTTAATGAAACTTGTAAACACGTCAAGAGTCAAAGTGCTGCGTAAATATTTGTTCATTCTTTTATCTTAACCAAGTGGTTTGGAATTTGGATCCGAATACTATACTTTCAATAAATAAATCTTCACAGTTTTATTGAAGTATACCTAAAAAATTATAAAGTGAAAGAATTGTCAAAATATTAACCTAAATTTATAAAATTAAAATAATAAGTTAATTATATTAAATAAATATAATATTTTAAAAAATTAACTATTTAAATTTATATTTTTGAATTTAAAATATTTAACAATTTATAAATTTTAATTTATAAAAAAATAATGAAGATAAAATAATTCTAATAAAAAATAAGAATTGGAAAATCTTGATTTTAAACACTAAAAATTAAGGTAAAAAATTATAAAAGTACAATAAGTATTATCAAAATATTGACGTCACACGTGTGAGATTTAATATAACAAATCAATTAATTCAAATAAATATAAATTTTTTTAAAATTAAACATTAAAATTTTTATTCTCAACTTTAAATTATTTAACGGTTTAGAAATTTTAATATACAAATGAATAATAGTAAGGATAAAAATAATTATTGTAAAATTTTTTAGTTAAAAAATTTTTACGTAAACTTATAAAAATTAACTTAAGAAATTATAAAGGTGGAATAAGTATTGTCAAAATATTAACGTAAATATGTGAAATTTAAGATAACAAGTCAATTAAGTTAAAATAAGTATAATTTTTATAAGAATTAAATATTTAAATTTTTATTATTGAGCTAAAAGTATTTAAAGATTTATAAATTTTAATTTATAAATGAATAATAATAAAGATAAAAAATAATTATAGTTAAAAAAATTATTTATTAAACTAAATTTTTATTACAATATTTATTTAAAAATTTCTCAATGATTAATATTTTTTACTTGAGAATGTAAATGTAAATGATTAATTTTCATAAAAATTTTATTATTCTCTTTTTAACTTATTTCCTTTTAATTAATATTTTTTATTTTTATTTATTAAGGGTTATTTAAGTTTTTTCTTAACCTGTTTGATAAGTAAACAGGTTGCAAATTTTTTTATTGGTCAATGACTAAAATAAAAGCTTCTAAATTTAATGGTTTTTATTTATAGCCTTACAAAGAGCATAATCTAAAAGGCACATTTTTATCTTTCAACTGATCCCTCTTTTAACTTAAACATTCCATGATCATTCATATCCTTTGAGAAAAATCTAATTTTTTTAATTCTAAACTTTTTTATCAACCTTTCTAGAGATTTTGAGTCAGAGATTTTTTAGAATCTATTGTTGAAGTAGTTATACCTCTAAGTAAAAGGTAAAAAGATTTATTAGATCCTTTAAAAAATTTCATCTTGTATAAAGTTTGTACTTGAATCTGAAGAAGATAATATCTTGATTGAGGTTGCCCTTGATTTTAAAAGACATATGAAGGTTATGCTTGATCTTGTTAAAAGAAATGTTATAAAGGGTATGATTGATCTTGTTAAAAAAAATAAGTTGATAGTGGATTCAAACTCCTTGAAATGATGTAAGTATTGAAAGACCAAACCTTTATAAAAATTCAATTAAGCACTCTTTATTATTATTATTGTTATTTTTTGCTCTTTACTTATTGATTTCATACTTTGTTTTGTTGTTTCATTGTCTCATATTTCTGTAGAGTCAAAATACTTGGAAAGTCCCTGTATTAGGATATTTTGTTTAATTTAGTCCATTTACTCAAAATCGTAACAATTTAATCCCTTAATTTTGAAAATTACTTCAATTTAACCATTCCTCCTAATTGCATCCAATTTTATTGTTAAAAAGGATGATATCAACGCTGATGTCATGCTAACATGACACATTTTGATGATGTGACGCCAAACATGATGATGTGGCAATGCTAATGTAGCAGTGATAAGCTGATGTGTTATTACCACATGGCAGATCAAAATTTTTTTTTTAAAAAAATTTTATATCGCGTCATAGGGATTAAATTAAATAGAAATATATTATACAAGTACTAAATTGAACAAAATTGAAATTTTAAAGGACTAAATTGTAAAAAATGTTTAAAAAATATAAATATTTAAGTAGATAATTGATATACTTATTAATAAACTAAATACTTAAATGTAAAAGATTTATGGTGTTAAAAATATATATAAATATTTTCTTACTAGATTATTTGATTCTAGAATATGTACATTAATTTAATTTTTTTATAAAAATTAAGTTTGAATTTTCTTTCTCTTCAAAAAATTTTGAAAACAATTTCGCAACAAAAACCAATTTTAGATGAATAACTTGTGTTATGTTGGAATAAAGCAATATAAAAAAAATTAAATAATGTTTTTCTTCTATGTATAATAATGTAAATTTTGAAATTTATTTGACTTAATTTTTAACTTAAATTGAACTCAAATTAACAAAATAAGTTGATTTAGTTATAACTTTCACAATTTAAAAATACCCTTTCTTTTGAAATTATTCAACCCTTACTCAATTTACTTTTTATTTAAATTTACTCAGAGTTGCTTATAAAATGATTTTATTTAAGGTTAAATACCACAATTAAATTTTGTTAAATTTAAATTTAAATTATTAATTTAGATTTACAAAAAATTAGTAAATACAAAATAAAATGGTACAAATAGTTATAATTATATTTAACTATATCAACCATAAATGTAGTCTTTAATCCAGAAAATTTTAACGTGAAAAATATAACTTGGAATATTAAACAAAATAAAAATATAAAAAATTAATAAAAAATTAAAAGGGTAAAGTAGCTCAAATTCTATGGACGTAAAAAGAGATTTGTCATGCTTAAATTAAGTAAATTAGAATAAAAAATTATTTTTATAATTATCGCTAACTCCATATCCCCTTTCTTCAGTTTTTAAAAGAAAAAACTAAATCAACCTATTTTCCTAATTTGAGTTCAATTTAAGTTAAAAATTAAGTCAAATAAATTTCAAATTTTTACATTATTATAAATAGAAGGAAAAAAATAATTTATTTAGTTTTTTATATTATTTTATTTTAACATAATGTAAGTTATTCATCTAAATTTAGTTTTTGATATAAATTTTTTAAAAAAAATTTTTGAATAAAAAGAGAATTCAAACTTAATTTTTACAAAAAATAAATTAATGTATATATTCTAAACTCAAATAATCAAGTAAGAAAATATTTATATATTTTTTAACATCATAAATCTTTTACACTTAAATATTTACCTCATTAATAAATATATTTATCATCTACTTAAACATTTATATTTTTTAAATACTTTTTACAAGTTAGTCCCTCAACATCTCAATTTTATTCAATTTAACTCCTATGACAGGGCACGAATAATTTTTTTTTTGAAAAATTTTTGATTTGCCTCGTAGCACTGACGCGTCAACATGTTAGTTCTACATCAAGCATTGCCTCATCATCTTATTAGTGCCACATGGCATTGCCATGCCATCATGTGGTGCCATTTGGCATGCCACGTCAGTATGTTTTGCACCACGTCAGTATGACATCAATGCTGACATCATCTCCTTTAACAGTAAAATTAGATGCTGTTAAGAAATAGATTAAATTGAAGTAATTTTCAAAATTAAAAGACTAAATTATTACAATTTTGAATATAAAGTGGCTAAATTGAACAAAATACCTTAGTACAAAGACTTCTCGAGTATTTTGACCATTTATGTAAGCATTGAAAAGCCAAACTTGAATAAAATTCTACTAAATACTCTTTTTCTTTTACTCTTTACTTACTGATTTCATACTCTGTTTTACTTTTTTTATTCTCTCATATTTCTACTTCATCTTCAAAGCTTTTTTAAAAAAGAGAATTTTTATTTAACAATCAATTTACCCTTGTATTTATCTTTCTAACACTTGAAAATTCTCGAAAATAAAGTTAATAGCGTTAAGTAAAAATGTAACAAAAATAAATACAAAGCAATGAAGTAATAAATTTTAAACTTTAGATGACAAATTTATTTACACTTTTCTTTAATGACAATACAAAATTTTCTTTATCTAAGTAATGTCTTACTTTTTTTTTTGTTTTACAAACTTTTTTGTATGTGAAGGGATTCTGCTTCCCTAGGATATAAATTTAACCTCCATGAACGACTTTACAAAGTTGTAATATGCCCAAAATTGTAATTAAAAATTGTATAAATTAACATCACTATTAATGGAAATGTGGCAATAAAAACTATATTAAAAAATAAAAGACATGTACATTAGACTATAATTAACTTTTTCTTTTCAATCCCAACAAGTTTGCACATACGAGACTATATTAGAAATACTAAAACCGAGTACTTCATCATTGGGTCTCCACCCAATAGCTTATCATATTTCAGTGTACCCTGCATGCAAACGACAGCATCGAAGTACCTGGGAGAATAGGACTGGGGCACTATAATAGTAGGAATGAAATATATAAAGTAAAATTTTGAGCCATGGGATTCGTGCTCAATTCATGTTCTCTGATTATAGAAAGTTGACATTGCAAAGTTGTTGGTCCCAAGTAAATATGCTAGAGGGGGGGTGAATAGCACTTTTTGACTCTTACAAGATTTGAGCTCTATTTGTGGGGGGCAATTTTAACTTCAATGATGGGAAGTTAAATGCAAGATAAAAAACAATCTAACAAGGAATGAAATCAAGAATAAAGCACCAAATACAAAACACAAAGATTTATAGTGGTTTGGTTAAAGACCTACATCTACTACCTTGATTATCCAACTAAGGATTTTCCAAATCAAATCACTATAAACGGTGAAATTTCTAAGCTTTCACCAAGCTTTTACAATGATATTTCACAAGCTCAGCCACAACCTTCAACAATGGTTTTTCCTAAGATCAACCAAAACCCAAAAACTAACTTTTCTAGGCTTAGTTAGAACCTATACACTCAATCAAGCTAACCCAAGCTTGATTAATCCCCTTAGAGTGTCTC